GGGGACCGGGGGGGACCCCCTCCTCCCCCCCTTTGTCCCCGGCCCCCCCCCTCACCGTAAGCTCTGGGGGCGGCCTCACCCCCTTTTTAACCCGTTACACCCCCTTTTTACCCAATACACCCCCTATTTATGGAGGAGAAGGGTGATTTTTTGGGCGGGAGACGACGTTTCGGTGTCGCTCCTTTTATTATTCTCTTGGTTTAACAGCACAAAGGGAACTGGGATGGCACTGGGAGGCACTGGGATGGAACTGGGAGGGAACTGGGAAGGAACTGGGAGGGAACTGGGATTTTCAGGAGTGGAGGAAGCGGTTGAAGGCGTTGTAGGCAGATTCCAAATCAAACAACATCTGCCTCACTTGGGAATCGTCCAGCTCGTCCGACGCCGACATCCCGCTCAGGGTCTGCAGCCTGGGAGGGGAAAAGGGGGGGGTTTAGGTTCCCAAACCCCCAAAATTCATCCCAGTACCCCAAAATTCATCCCAGTACCCCCCCCACACCCCCCAGTCATCGCTCACCACTGGTTGACTTTCTGCCTCCCCTCGAAGTCGGGGGGCAGGTGGCTCATGCGGTTCATGGTCTCCATCAGCTCCCGGAGATCGGGTTGGATCTGGGGGAGAGAAGGGATTTTTGGGGGATTTTGGGGGGTTTTGGGGGGACTCACGGCACCGGTGTCGCCAAAATAAGGCTGGGGGGGGAGATGGGGGCGATGGGGAGGATTTGGGGGGTCCCCCAAGCCCACCTCGTCCATGGCGCGGATCTCCAGGCGCAGCTTGTCCATCACCGTGATGAAGAGCTGGGAGAGGAGGAAGGGTTGGGGTGAGCGGGAGCCTTCCCCACCCCAAAACCACCCAAACTCACCCCAAAACCACCAGAACTGCCCCCAAACCACCAGAACTGCCCCAAAACTGCCCCCAAACCACCAGAACTGCTCCAAAACCAATGAAAAATTGTGCCAAAACTGCCCCCACAACCACTAGAACTGCCCCAAAACTGCCCCCAAAACCTACAGAAACTGCCCCCAAAACCTACAGAAACTGACCCAAAACCTACAGAAACTGACCCCAAAAACTACAGAAACTAACCCCAAAAACTACAAGAACTGACCCCAAACCATCAAAATTGCTCCAAAACCCACCAAAACTGCCCTGAAAACTGCCCCCAAACGACCAGAACTGACCCAAAAATGCCCCAAAACCACCCAAACTGCCCCAAACCCACCAGAACTGCCCCAAAATGCCCCTAAAACCAGCAGAACTGACCCCAAACCAGCAGAACTGACCCCAAAACTGCTCCCACAACCACTGAAACTGCCCCAAAACCACCCAAACTGCCCCCAAACTGCCCCTAAAACCACCAGAACTGCCCCCAAACTGCCCCCAAACCACCAGAACTGCCCCCAAAGCCAATAGAACTGCCCCAAAACTGATGAAAAATTGCCCCAAATCTGCCCCCACAACCACCGAAACTGCCCCAAAACCACCCAAACTGCCCCTAAAACCACCAGAACTGACCCCAAACTGCCCCCAAACCACCAGAACTGCCTGAAAACTACCCCAAAACCACCAAAACTGCCCCAAAAACTACCCCAAAACCACTAGAACTGCCCCCCAAACCACTGAAACTGACCCAAAACTGCCCCCTAAACCACCCACTGCCTCCCAAAACCACCAACCCTGCCCCCAGAACTGCCCCAAAACCACCGAAACTGACCCAA